TCTTGCTGGGATGATTGGCCTACTGTGTTTTCCCCCTCAGCTCAGATCTCCCAAAGGAAAACTGAGGGCACCTCCCTTCCCCACCGGCTAACACACACGTCCATTCACTGGACTCCCAAGTGTCCCATGCACACCTCTACACAACTCCTCACATGTTTATTAAAACATACACTGGGACTTTCTGTTCCTAAGTACAGCTCCCACACTGGCCATTCTCAGCACAGACTGTGTCTTATTAACTTTATACTCCTGCCCCTAATAATTAATAGATGTTCACTAAGTATTGAGTGAATGATGGTTTAATGTCTTTTACTGGAAACTTTATTTTAAAAATTATTTTATTTTTATATTTTCATTTCCTTTTTAAAATCTTTTTTATTATTGTTGTACGTTGTGACAGTTACAAAAGTTCTTACAATATATCATAGTTGAATGCACTCCCTCCATCATTCTCCTTTATTCTCCCTCCCCCCATTCCTGGAATAGTTTCGACAGGTCTCATTTTTCCGTATTCGTACATGAGTACACACTATTTCCACCTCATTCACCCTCCCACACCCTTTCTTTACATCCTCCCCCCTCTCACTGGTGCCAATCCCCAGACATGACCTTGGAGATATTTCACTTCAATTCCAAAAACTACTTTGCATTAAATGCCACAGAAATACTGTAAGGAGGAATGTAGTGATAGTTCTGTCAGCTGTGACACAAAAACAAATGCTGTATTTGCAAGGCCCACAGAGCGTTGCATGAAGTACACAGGACAGGGGATGATTTCAGTCCTGCTGTGTGTGGATCTGACTTTGGGTTGCAACTTTCTCCCTTTAGCCTTAGATGTGACAGTGTGTGTTACATTCCAACTGGAACTCTCTCCCCAAGGTTAGGAATGACTCTTCAGTTTCTACATGGCTTTGTGTATGCTCAGGGTGGGCAGGAGATTAGAAAGCAGCCCCTGCATTCTTCTTATCCCCAGGTGTCCTATTCTTGGTGCTTGGGACAGAGCTAGAGCTGAGTGACCTCTGGAAAGGTGAAGAATCCATCCCACGTGGCCATATATGGCCAAGTGTACTTGGCCATAATAATTAGAAGTAGAGAAGATGACCCCGCTTCTGTAGAACAGGGTAGAACTTTCCTTATGATCACACGAGTTGGGATCCATGGTGAACTCAGAAGGTCCAGGACAACAAAACGTGTGAAGTTCACACCAGTTCTTAAACTGCTCCCTTACTAAAACAAAGAAGGTTGATGCTGGAGTGTCCCTTAGAGGTGAGCTGGCCCTGCCCTTGCATTTTACAGTTATCTGAGGCCCAAGAAAGGGAAGGGGTTTGCTTAGGCTCCTTTGGCCAACCTGTGGTGGAGCTGTACTTGACCCTTCTAGGCCTCCTGGCACATCATTTCGCTTGGAGTTAGCAGGGTTGTGGCAAATCATGATGGACCTGTAATTCTGGTCTTTAGCTTATTTATTAATGGTTGAAGGGGTCCCTGTCAGACATTCATTGGAAGGAGGTCACTGAAAGCAGGCAGCAAAGCCAATTCCCCATACAACCCCAACTTCTAGATTTCACTGACCTCTCCAGCTAAGTCTTCTCTTTCCTGTGCTCTGTCCTAATCTGACCCAGATTTTACAGACCTAACTAAGGATAGTTTCAGGGAGCCTTCCTCATCTTCCCTGTACACTCAGTGGATTCCTCCTCTGAACTTCTCTTTGCAGAGAGAACAAGAGCATGTGCCTGCATGGGTGTGTGCCAGCCTGAAAAACCCAATGGCACATTCCCCACCCTTCCCACACACACCTAGGACAGCTGCCCAGTCATGCTCTGCATCCTGGGGGCCCAGCCTGCTGACTTCTTGAGGGAAATGATCTGTGATATGTCCCCATCATGGGCAGAAGCCACACATTCTTGTGATTCTTGGAGGGCATCTGCAGAGGCAGCCACAGAGACAGAATGTAATGTAACAGGGCACCCTTGGTGTGACAGCGTCGATCTCTTACAACATGCATTTCTGAACTGTCCCATGACGCCTCATCCTTGGTGCCATTAAATTGTTCTTCCTTAGAATTTCTCTACCAGGCCCTGTACTGGGAGGCACAGTGTCTTCAAGGTTCATCAGTATCACAGTGTATGTCAGAACACCCAAGTGTTATTTGATGGCTCACATCAGAGCTGGGGATGACAGAGCTGTGGGTCTCACACTCAGCAGAAAGGGTAACAGACCCCAGCAGATGACAGAGTAGAGGAAGCAAGGAAGCTGTGGGCCAGATGACCTCTAAAGTTATACTCTGCACTCTCAAAGGAGAACTGTCCCAGGCGCTGTCTTTCAGGAGGTCTGTGAGGGAATTTGCTTGGACATCTAGACCCAGAGCCAGCCTGGGGGTGTCTTTCATATCAAGGAACTGTGACTGTCTCCCCTAAAGGACTCACACCCTGAGGATTTCTCAGGGAGCTTTAGAAAGCCTCGGGTTATTCACAGAAAGTAAGTGCTAAACCAAGTGAGTGACAGAGTTCAGCATCTGGGAAACCAAGCCTAGGCCTCGATTCTACCAACACAGCCATGCACAGAAGTCCCAAGACTCAGCAGTCCTCTGCTCCCATTGTGCATGATGCTGGATGAATTCCCTCACCATCTGTGCAGAGGGTAGCCAATGCTTCCTCATCCAGGCAGTCAGAGCCACCAGGTGAGGTGGAAAAGGTGCTGGGCTGGACCTGTGAATCCTGCATAGAATACTGGCTCTGTGACCAGGAATCTTGCTGGGTCCTAGGAGCAGGGTGCAAATGATTGGCCCTGGAGTTGGATGCACCCTTGGGTCCCTTGAGAGTTAAGAAAAATCAGAGATGGGGAACACCATTTTCTTCCTTGGAGATGGCCCATGGCTTCTCCATGATTTCGAGGGTGGCAGCGATGATGACTGACACCAGGAACAAGTCCATGCTTCCGACCAGCCTGAGTCCAGGTCACTTTGGCATAGGAGGACAATAGTGGCACTCAAAAGGTACTAAGGACTCACTGGGTTCCAGAAGCTGTGCCAAGCATTTCACAGGCACTCTCACTTTGACTTCTCTCGTATACCCAAGGAGACACATGTGGCTATTGTCCCCACTTGTCAGAAAAGGAGAGTGAAGCTCAGAAAGACTCAGTCATGTGACCAATGTGTGTCTGACTCTAGGGCCCTAGCTTGGCTGTCAGTGAGTCCACCTCTCCAGGTCAGCTATCACAGTGGGCATCCTTGCCATTTCTCCAAAGGTCCATGAGGTCTGACACTCTCCCCAAAAACTCTCCCCCCAAACCTTTGGGATAGGAGACTATCCAGAGAGGTTCTGGCTTATGATCCTCCAGGTCTGAGTGCCTCTCAAAGGAAGGATCAGGGCTTTAAGTCCTCCTGTTCTCCTAGTTACCTTCCCACTCCATGCAGAACGGTGGAGCTGGTGTCTTGTGGCTTCTGAATCAGAGGGGAAACATTTCTACACCTGTGCTGTCCCTGCTCTAGTGGCATCTGATTGAAGTTAAGCTGCAGATTCAGCTGGTTCTCACTGCTCAGGGGAAGCCTGGGCTGGGGGAGCCCTGGCCATGGGCACTGACTCATTCTCCAGAGCACTCAGCAAGGCTGGAGAGGACTGCACCAGCTTAATCCCTTCTTACTTCCTTGACACCTGTTTTTGGCCATGAGGTCTCCTCAGTTGTTCCTCTACTAAATGGTGAAAAAGGCCTAGAAGGCAGACATCCACATCAATAGGTAAGAAGGATGCAACCAGTGTTACTTGTCACCCTAAGACACCTGTGTTCATAGGACACTGACACCACTATGCTAGCAGCTCCATTTGCCCTGAGTGATGGAAGGCAGCTTCCAGGAATAGTAGCATAATAACCTGAAAGTATTAACCTTCCTGTATTTATGCCTCATCACTCACCTCCAGAGGTAGACACATGGTAGGTTTTGATACATATTCCTGGAACCAAATCAGAATGCATTTGGCTTTACATTGTCTCCCCTTCTGCAGCTCTTCAGTACCCCTAGACCTAGCTACTGGGGCCACCCCTGACATGCAGAGGAGCTGGGAAGTCCCATGATTTCCCAGATCTCATGGAGACTGATAGTTCTGGGCAGGTTGGCAGGATCCCCAACAGAGGCAGGACACGGGGCCAAGAATGCATCCGGTCTAGCTGGGACAGGGTGTGATTTGGACTCTTGGTTCATGGAAAAATAATCTAAAAAAGCCCTTGGTTGCCTCAGGAGAGTGACTTTGCATTTCCAAAGGGACTTGGAAAAATTATCCCCATTGTCCCCATTTGTGAAAAACGAGAATTTTAGAAAGCAAATTATTTCAAAACGGGGGTGGCAGATGTCTGTGTATTCATGTCCTCTTGAGGGAATCTGATCTTCAGCTGGTTCTGACCTTCAGTCTGTGTTAGCATCAACACTGGCAGAATGGATGGTGAAGCCAGCCGCTGATACGAGTTACCCACAGAGTCACTCTTTTTTTCTTCCTAATTCTACCAGACAGCACTTTTGAAGGGCTTATTTTGTCGCTCACTGCAAGGACAGCATCTGTAAAGGAGAAGTCAGATGTCCCAGATTCAAGTTCTAGCTGAATCTCCACCCTTCATCATAAAAACTGCAGCTGATAATACTTGTGCTGTTTGTGCCACAGCAAGTTTGTGTGACTCAAGGGAGAAAATGTAGATTGAAATCCTCTGTAAATCACGTGTTCCCATCAGTCACTTAATATGTGTTTGCTGGATGCCTACTGTATACACAGTTCAAAGGTGGATGTGGAGGGGAATGTCACCCTTTGTCTCATTACAGTCTCTGGGGTTCAGCTTCACAAATGTAATCTAAGCTGTCCCTGGTTCCTCTCACTTGTGTCACCCAGAGTGTCACATGTACTACATACAGAGCCCTGCTGGGAAACTGCCAGTCTCTATGACATGGCCTTCATTAGCCCCAGCTCATTCCAGAAAGCAGTTTTTTGAAGGCTTCTATTCTCTGTGTCTCTGCTAAGTTTCCCCAAGAAATGCTGCTTTCTGGACCGGGACATAGGACAGAGCTGGACTCCACTCTTCCTTTGCCTGCGTCTGCACGGCATCACTAGCGGTAAGTACCGCCCATGTGACCATGCTCGGGAAAGCTGTTGGAGATCTGCCCCACCCTTCAGCCACTGCCCCAGAAGCCCTACCAGATGTTGCCAAAGGAGTCAGCTGAGATTGGGCATTGTCATTTCAGAGCTCTGTGACTTTGGAAAGTCACATAACCGTTTGGTCTCAGTTTCCTTGTCTGTAAGATGGGGACTATCAGAGGTGCTGTGAATAAAGATGAAGGGAGAGGGGCTTATCTATTGTGAAGCAGAACACAGATGCCAGGGGCTGTTTTATTGCCATCCTATTGCATGGCCTGCCTCAGCACAGGTCACTTGCTTAGCAGTTCAGAAGAAAACTTGAATCAATGTAACTACAGTTCAAATTCTTCAAGTTCTTCTCTGCAGAAGGAAATATGGGGTTCACTATTGAAGACAATCTCCATCAACCAGATATTGGTTGTTTGGAAATTTTTGGTAACTTCCTCTCAAAGATGGCTGCCTGTTTTACAAGGCATGGTTCATCCTGGTTCTGCCCTTAGCCAATGTACAGACTGGATATGGTAACAGCCAGGCTCTTCTGGTTTCCAACATGCTCAGGTCATCCTAACTTCCCTTTCCTGTCACCTCTTGGCATGCGCACCCAGAACTTCAAGTTCTATTAGAAGAAATGTAAAGCCAAGTGCAAGGTCAGGGGAGGAGTTTGCCATAATTTTTTGGACTTGTAATTGACTGAATTAACAGATTTTGACAGAATGGGTTCCACTCTCCTGTACTGCGTATGTCAGAACAATTCCCTATAAGCTAATAGGACATCTCCTTTGCTGTATACATCAGGGACAGATTCTTCAACTGTCTTCTTTCAAGTGACCTGAAAACTCCAAGTCTGGGCCCCAGAGCCAGGCCTGTGTTCCCTAGGCCTCATGCTCTGAACACAGGGAAAGTAACTGCCACTTACAAAAAGCAGGGAAATATTGGAGTGTATGTCTGGCCAGTCCAGGAGGCCACCTGGTGAGATCATTGTATCTGAAAGGAACTATGTGACTGGTACTAGGGGTTGAACTTAAGGCCTCACCTGCTAGGCAGGTGCTTTACCTCTTGAGCCAGTCCACCAGCCCTCTTTGCATTGGTTAGTTTTGAAATTGGGTCTCACTTTATGCCTGGCCCTGCCTGGACTGTGATCCTATTCTTTGTGCTTCCCTGCCTATCTGGATTAACAGGAGTACACCACTGTACCTAGCCACTGATTAAGGTGAGGTCTCACAATTTTTTTGTCCCAGCTGGCCTCAAACAACAATCCTCCAATCTCTGTTTCTCAAGTACTAGGATTACAGCTTGTGCCACTGTGCCCAGCTAACCTTGAGAACTTTTTTAAAGCCATTCCAGTTATCCAGATGTAATAAGTAGCTCTAAAACTCGGGGATGGCTGATGTTGATGGACATTCCAGTTGCCTCTAGATATGCCAATAACACTGATCATCTCATTTCCAACCTACCTGGTCAGGCAGGATAGCAGCTGGAGGCTGGACATTTGAGGATTTTGTAATTCACACATATCTTATAGATTCCTGAGGCCCTGGGAACAGAGACCTAGGGAAAAGAATGGGAAGAAAATTTAAAACAGGAGCAGATTTTAACTGGGCCAATGCACAGCCCAAATACTTCTTCCCTTTTCTTTACAATATTTTTTGGTAATGTCAAGAGAACAGAAGAATCTTGGAGGAGTTTTGTCAATTGGTCAAAGCTCAGGCTGACTTTCGAGAGTCGTTGATGACTTTGCTGCTAACATAGTTCTCCAGGTCATCTCCAGAGCTCACTGGCAGCAATGTCTTCTTGCAGGATTGTTGAGAATGTCTCTTTTAAAATAAGTTAAATTTAAAAGCACTAATATGTAGCACAGAAAATTTCCTACTGAAGTTGAAATTGCCCTCCAATTTGGAGTGAATCCATTTATTCCTTTGGTAGTTTATTTGTATATGTTTCTTTTTTTTTAAGAAAAAAATTAGAGCACAAAAGAAACAGATTCTGCACTCAACCACAGCAGTTCTGAGATGTCTTATTCCCATTTTATCACCGAAAACTTCAACAACTCCTTCCCCCTCCTTTACCTCAGCTCCTGGTATCTTCCTTTTTTTCCTTTTGTAAGTCAGACTGTTATGAACAAAACGGTAACATGTTCTCTTTGTGCTTCTTCCAGGCAGGGATCTGGAGGAATTAAGGCACATTAACTTCTTCCCCGAGTCCTGGCTGGTCCGGGTGACAGCCAACCACTACCATGCAGTGAGTCAGCTTCTCAAGGAAGCAGTTCTAGAAATTTATCGCTTCTCTGACTTTGCTTTTCTGGGGATGTGCTCACGTTTGAAACCCCTGGACCTCTAGTCATATCTGGATCCTCCTCCAGGGACGGGGGGAGAGCTGACCTGGGAATGGGAGGCCCAGCCTTGGAATGCATTTTCCATGTTGCCCTGGAGAGTTTTATGGGGTGGAAGAGATCCGGTCACATTGCCCTCCAAACCCAGACCCACCAGAGACAAATGTTATATCCTTATTTTCGAAAATGTTTTTTATGCAGAGAAATAAAAAGAAGAAAAACAAATATCCTCATACCCATCACCCAAAGACAACCTCTGTTAACATTTCATTGTACTTATTACCTCTTAGGATTCTGAAAATATACAGTACACTCAATTAGATGCATTTCCTAAGCCATTCTTAATGGCTGCAAACTTCTCCCACCAGGAGGATTGCCCATACCAATGCTACCTTGTAGTTTCCTTTATTGTAGAAAATACATGGTGTTTCTATTTGTTCACTATTATAAACAACAGTATGAGACATATTTTCACATAATGGTTCATTTTGCTATACTTCGAATTATTTTCTTACAGGAGATTCTCAACAGTAGAAATACTGGCACTAAAAGGAATGTCTTTATTTTTATTTATTTTTTTGAGGTGCTGGGATTTGAACTCAGGGCCTCACACTTGTTAGGCAAGCTCTCTACCACTTGAGCCACTCTGCCAGCCCTGTTTTGTTTTGCATTTTCAAGATAGGGTCTCATGATGTATTTTCCCAGGTTGGCTTTGAACTGCCATCCTCCTGATCTCTGCCTCCTGAGTAGATAGGATGAGGGCATGAGCCACCAGCGCCCAGCCATGTCGTCTTATTCTTAATACATCTTAGCAAGTGTGGGGGTCAAATTACTCTTCCCCCAGAAATAAATGAGCTATCTTACTTTGTACATGCAAACAACGTAGAGCATTTAAATTTCAAATCACTTTTGTTAATTGAGAAGGGAACAATTGCATCTCATTGTAAAATATGCCTCTCATCTATTACTAGTAAATCGTAATTTTTCCCACATGTCCCTTTTGTGAATTGTCTGTGCAAACTGTTGTGCTTCTTATGTGTTCCCAATCATGCATTTTTGCAGTTGAAATAGGGCAGTGTTCGAATTCTGAAGAAGCATGAGTCACTAGTTAAAATTCAGTCAGCTCCACAAATACCTATTGTGATGGGCAAACCAGTGCTCCCGCTCTGGCTCCCTGACGCTTAGCTGGTGACCCCACAGAGCTTGCCTCTGTGGGACATAGCTTAGAACTATGCTCCAACAGAGGAACTAAAGGGACAGTCTCTGGGGCTGACACCTCTGGAAGCCCCCCCATCTCCCTCTTCCTGTCCTCTGACCCTGCCCGTGCCTTTCCTTTTGCCCCTGCTGCCAATGTCATCCTGCTGATATCTACTCGCTGCCCTCCCCAACTGTCCCTACGGAGCCTTGCTTGTTCTCTGTTTTATGACTACGGTCATTTTCTGCCTCATGATGGGGCTCCTGGCATATTTCCCCAGTGAGACTGCTTTGCATTTTTCTTTCTATCCTCTCTCTGCATCCCCTGAAAGAAGTCAGCACAGTACCTGGCACATAGTAGGTTTTCAATAAATGCTGTGGCTGGATGATTAACTGAATTTAGGGTACAGAGACAGACCTCTCTTCCCAGTACCATGGGGGCTTAGATGCAGGCACACATGTGATGATGGTGACAGGTGCTCTTGTCTGTGCACCAGGCTCGTGGTGAGCTATGTGCATTTCCCTTCCAGCTGGAGAGCGGGGGCGACATGGTCCACCTGAAAGACCTTACCACCCAGGCTGTGAGATTTGGACTTCTCTTTACCCAGGTACTGAAAACTGAACCCGAACAAGGGGAAGAACTGTCCCTCCAAGTGCTTGGTTAAGGACCTTTGTAGGGTAGCTTGTGATCACTCTGACCTCTGATAGAAAGGTCAGGGAGCTCCTAGGAAATAAAGTTCACAAGACAAAGGTAGGGGATAGCAGACCCTTGCCTGTCATCAGATTGCCATTCAGCAATCTGTTGTGTGCACCCCACATTTTCCCACTACGGTGACCAATTGCCCTCATTTTCCCAGGATAGAGGAGTTTTCCTGGGATTTGAGACTTTAAAATCAAGAACAGCTTGGGAAAACAATGATGAGTTAGTCATTTTATTCCCCACAAACATTGACAGCTACCACAGGTTCAGCAAGTCTCCTCTCTCTCTCCAAGTCCATGTTGAAGGGTGCAAGGGTTGAACTCATTCTGGGATTCTGATGGATCCTAGAATCAAACAGCTGTGCTTTAAGGAGCCCCAGTGCCAGGCATTTCCATGCTCAGTCACAGGCAGTGTCTGGGGTTGGAGTTTGGGTTTGCTCTGATAGACAGAGTTCTCCAAGAAATGGCTGCTCTATTTTGACTTCTTTAAAGGTACCCAGCAGGGATCTCAAAAGAATTCATGTTTCAGGAACTTGGGACCCTGAGTCTGTCATCCAAGAGATCCTCTGGGTCAGTGCCTGGATTGCAGAGACCCACCCAAGTGAGCACACAGTAGACCACAGTGGTCAGGATTTCTTACATGTCCCATGAGTACAGAACATCACTGAGGCCCACCCAGTTGGGACAAAATGTTTTGTTTCAAAGATCTGCAGACTACAGCCATCTAAGAACACACTTGACTCATTCTTTTCCCCACAAAAGAACATGCAGAGTGACAATCACAACAGTCAGTAGAAGTTAGTCTTTGTTACAGCAGTGACAATACTAATCAGTTACCTTTGTTGCCACTAGAATGAGTTTTGCTTTGTCCTCTTGCTTTCAATACTGAAGATTTTCCCTCTTCACTTTGTTGTTTGTTTTTCCCAACATAGGAGTCTACCACTTGTTCAAAAATAATTTCTATATATGGATTCTTCTTTGAGATAAGGGGAAATAAACATGGCACTACCTCTTACAGTTTTTCCATGCAGGTAAGAAAGATGGAGTACAGATAAGGTATGTCTCTGAAACAGTCATTTACAGTCAGTCAACTCATATTGGATTAATAATAACCAATTAATTATTATTAATTAATCATATGGACTGTGTTGTAAGTGCTGTTCACACTCATACCCACAATGCCATTTGGTCATTCCAACACCTCAGGAGGTAGGTATTGGTAGTAGATGGAGCTCTCAACCCTGAGTGACTTCTTGTTCATATGACCTCTACTGGATAAGCCAGGATTGAAGTCCCAATCTTCTGTGTTGAGAATCAATTCATGTTCAGTTTTTATGTGCTGGGTAACACTTGGCAGATGGTTGTTCTTCAATGGAGATGACATGCAGTGCCCACAAGTGGGAGAGGGGACAAACCTGTTGAGAGTGGCACAGCAAGGTGATGGGCGGGACACCTGAGGAACTAGGAAGATGGGTGACTTCTTAGTGCTCCTGCTAGACCCACAGGAGAGGCAGGAGAAAGTCATTTGAGGGCAGAGAGTTGCAGCATGGGCTGCCTGGTGAGATGCATGAGCTCGGGGAGTCCCACCTTTAAGATGGAGGGTACTAGGACCTCCCTCACTGGGTGGTGGTGAGTAATGAAAGTGTTAATTTACATGAAGGACTTTGAACAGAGCCTGGCATAGAAAGTGCTTTATGTATTTGTTTTTTCTTTTGTTTTTCTTGTTTGTTTCCTGGCATTGGGGATGACCCCAGAGCCTCATGCAGCTAAGTATGCACTCTACCACTGAGCTGCACCCCATGTTAGCAATGATGACAACCATGATGACGACAGTGGTGGTGATGTTTATGATGGCAAAGGACTGCTATGACCCACTTAGCATTTGCTCAGATGTCACTCTTCTTTAAATGGCATGCTCTCTGAAAAAACCATATCTTATTTATCCTTTTATTTCCACTGTAGTCACTGTACCTGGAACATAACAGAACCTTGACTGACTGGCTGACTGACTGACTGAATGAATGGATAAATGAATGAATGAATGAACCAATGATGAAATCTGTGTTTTAGTCCTAGCATTGCCACTACCTTCTAATGTAACCTGAACAAGTCAATTTTCCTTAGGCCTCCATTCTTGGTTTCCAGCCCCTCAGGTATTTCCCTACACAATGGATTTACTAGATGAAAGATGAATTTTGACCACCAGTCAAAGGCCATATGAATACTATGTTGGAGTTTTTAATTCCAGCAAAGCGGTATCAAAGCTAGACTTGATGCTATTTTGGCTAAATCCAAGTCCACTGGCCAGTGGTTTGTGTATGGTGAGGGTTCAAATGCTAGTGGACTCAGCAGTGGCCCTCAGAAAATGATGACATTTGGGAAATGTCCTCTTGCTGTTCACACACGTAAGACAGGTGGGTGTGGCATGAATCACATTTCACTAGCTCTGGTCAGCCCAGTCACAGGTCACCTAGGATGGGTCACTCTCTTTGCAGAGAATAAGACACACAGATTTGGAGTGCCCCTCTATGGTCTGTGAGCACAGTGCCATCAGCCTGAGAGCAGAGCGCCTGATGAAATACGAAATCAGAGCCCAGACCCTGGTGGACGGCAGGTGGCAGGAATTCAGGACAAACCAGATCACACAGAAGTTCGGGCTCCTCAGGCCATGCTGCAAAAGCCATGTGAGCATTTCCTTGCCTCTGTCTTTGCTTCTCTCTATTTCCTTTTTGCTCCTTTTCTCCCTTGCCTCTTTTTAGAGATCCCCAACTTCAAATTGCCAGTGATCTACCGAAGGAACTCAGTTTCTTAAGAAAATGCCTCCAAATAATGCTTAAGATAAACCTTCTAGAATGAGAAGTTGAATCAGATTACCTGATTTGAGTCACCCCAGATCCTTTTTTATAAGTTTTTGTGTAAAGGTGGGAGGCTCAGTAGGGGGGGCGGTGTACTTGCTACCAGCATCTCCACTTGTACCTATCAGTTCCCTCCAAATCCTGGCCCAGGTCACCCTCTACCCTCTGGCTAATCCAGGAAGGCAGAACTCATCTCCCTCAGTGGGCAGTGCTAGGATTCAAGCACACTGAGTGTCTGCCCTGGCTTCCAATAGCCATAACCCTGAAATGGCCAGAGAGCCCAGGAAGGACTCTTTGGGCTGTGAATTCAAGGAGCACTGGGGTCTCCCCTGCTGCTCTGCAGGGACTGAGACTGGGCTGTAAAGGAGTCCTTCTCAGTCCTTGTGGCACATCAGAATCACCCTGGCTCTTGGGACACTCTTGAGTCGAGACTACCCAGTCTAGAGACCAGGTATTCCCTGGAAGGGCCTGGGTTCATAAAAAGCTCCAGGTTACTTCCAGTGATGCTGGAAATCAGAATAGCAATTTCCTTTGCCGGGTGGAGGAAGGGGCTGAGACACTGGTGAGAAGGAGACTTCCTGTGATGGCTTTGCAGGCATACTTATTTTGTGTGCACTCTTGGGATTTGTGTGCTTCATTGTATTTTAAGCACACCCCAAATGCTAAGTTTACTTAAAACCCTTACCTAAGTGTTTCTGAAGTGCAGTCAGGGCCAGGAACCACTGGCTGATGCACTGGTCAGGCCTTCTTCTTCCTCCTTTTGCGGGACATAATTTGGGTTCTAAAAAGTCCCATTTGCTTTCTTTTGTTTCATATTTTAGGCCTTGAAAATCCAAACTGTGGGCACCCCAATCTATGTAAGTTTTGCTTTCATCTTTCCAGTATCTTGAAAGTTTCCAGAAGAATCTATGGGAACTCCCTACCTGTTTGCATAAAAGGAAATAAAATGACATTAAACAGGGAGTCCAGTGTTCAGCTGCCTGTCTAATGCCATGGTGCATTAGAGCTCTTGCCCACATTTGTGTCACTCGACTATGAAAGGAGCCAGAGCCCCAAGTCCACTTGCCATCCTTAGCCACAAAGTACCCTAAGTTCAACCTCTCGGGGTGTAATGGGAGCACCTTCATATCAACAGACTGCAGCTGAGAGCTTCATTACTTCCCTATGCCACAGCTCCACCTACTTCCCAGAACTATGCATCTGACAATTGTCTTGGCAACTTTGGCTCAGCCAGAACAAGAGGTAAGAAGGGAGGAAATAACAAGGCCCAGAGAGACTTTACTTACTTATTATTCCACCTTTTAAAATGGGACTTTGTCCATATTGCCTGTTGATTTTCTACTGCAGTGTAACAAAGTACTCTAAATGTAGCAACGTAAACTCACTGCATACTCATTGCTTCACAGTTTCCACACTAGAGGAATCCAGGCAGAGATTCACTGGATCTCAAACATCCACTTTAAGAGGCAGTCAGTCTATGTTCTCATCTGAGAATCCATGTCCAATTAATTCAGGTTGTTGGCAGGTTAACCTTCTTGCGGCTTTCTGACTGTGGGTCCCGGGGCTACTGGCTGTTGGGGAAAGGTCACTCGGCTCCTAGTGGTCCCTGTATTCCCTATGGCTCTTTCAGACATTTCAAGGCATGGTTGTTGGCTTCTCCAAAACCAGCAAGAGAATTTCTCACTCTGATTCACTAAAACAGAATCCTATACAGTGTACCAGAATCACAAGAGTGACATCCCATACCCTTTGGCTCTTTCTCATTCTGTGGGCTAGAGTAAGTCATATGTTCCATTCATACCCACGGAGAGAGGCTTGTACAAAGGGTCATCACAGGGTGTGTGCACCACTATGTGTCACTTGTATTCTTTGGAAAAGTGATAGGGAGGTGACAAGGTGGGTAAATTTGGTCTAATTGTCACCTTAGAGTGGGACACAGGCTGATGGAGTCTCCTTCCCACCAGAGGAAACTGTGAGGAAGAAGGGCTGGGAAGGTGGAAAGGTGACCTGGGAGAAGAATCAGAGCAAAGGAGTTGCAATGGGAGCCTTTGCAGGTCTTCCCTCCTGTAAACCCTGTTTCCCATCTCCCTCACTGGTGCTCCTAGCCAGCAGCTAATCAATGGGGAGTGGTGATGGGAGATAGGAAGATAAGATGCCCAAACGAGCCCAGGCAGCTCTCATGCCTGGGCAAGGAGGGCATTTGCCTGCAGTGGCTTGTCTCCTCGTTGGCTCCCACTTGCTCTGGCACTTCTTTTTGCCACCTGACCTCTCTAATACCTACACCTGTCCTGTGTCTCTTGCTGCCAGCTTGGCTCATTCTCCCCCCATTTAGCTTCTTGAGTCTTGCTTTATCATGTGACCATTTCTTTGTGTTGTGTTGTGTTGTGTTGTGTTGTGTTGTGCTGTATTGTATTATATTAATTATGCTTGCAACCTCCAGGATAGTTTGTTTTTCCAGGTTAGGATTGTTGGGTCTGGGGACTTAAAGGACAGATGAGTGAGTCAATATCCCATCCCCCATGGAGAGCACTATGGGCTCTGCACCCTAAGAGCTCATAAATCTGCATTCCTGCACCCTGAGGAGGAGATACAGGGTCTCATAAATCTGCCACAGGGCTGGTAAACAGAATGCTCTCAAGGTTGTTGTTGCCCCCCATAAGGGGCAAACAGAACAGCTCATCTAAGAGAGCCCATGGGTGTGAATCCATGGGCAATGGAAAGAACCCACCTAACCCTTACCCTAACCCAGAGTTAAAGTTCTATAAAAAACTCCAGCCTTCACCTGAGCAGGGAGCCACCAGTTTCCGGGCTCTGCTGCACTGCTCCAGCTATAGCCTTTCCTTTCTCTCTAATAAGTCCTACTTTGTGCACCGGCCTTGTCTCACGAGTTAATCAGCTGCCTCATGAGCCAGTTCTCTGCCTCTGAAGGCAAGAACACTTGACACTGGCCCGCAACATTTCACCCTCTGGCACATAACATTTCTGGTGACCACGTGAAGGGACATCTCTCTAAGACCAAGATCGGTAAGATTGAGGGCCAAATCAGCAGGAGCTTGCCTAAGGTGCCACCGTGAGTCTCCTGCAAGCCGAGGCCGAGCCCAGGGTTGATTCGGGTCGCCTTATGCTGCATTGGAAGAGACCTGTCTGTTTTTGACACCTGGCAATCTTCTTCTCCCATCTGTTGATATCTGCCTTTGGCAGCGACCTGAGGGTAGAGATTTAGTGTGGCTGACAGTGTTCCAGTACCTCTTAGTCAGAAAGACCTGAAAGCACACCTAGTCATTAATCCCTCAAGTGTGTATCCACTCTCTTGGCTCTGTTCCCCCTCCCCAACCTAGGATGTCAGATTGCCCCTTCTGCCCCTGCCAGAAGCAGCAGACATTCTTTTACTCACACACTCCCTTCCCTGGTCCTGCCACCATATTGGTCTCTGTCCGCCTTCCCCTCCCTGTGCTTACTGGGACCCTGGCCTCCCATGGGGAACTTGTACCATAGTTCTTATGACTTTCTTGTGTTACTCCCACACCTGGTTTGTCATGCCCCTTAGTCCACACAAGCTTTAAATTGGCTGCTGGGCACCAGCGGAGGCAAAGGTGCTTCATGAAACTGTGGCCCTAGGGGTGGACCCAGCAGGGGTGAGGACTGACATGGGCCTCTGTACCACACGTGCACCCAAACCCCACCCTTCAGGTGTGGCCTCCACCTCAGCCAAGATTATCCATGAGAAGGTCCTGGCTGGTATCCAGAGCCGTTGCCACCGCCAGCTGAACAGTGGTAACCACAACCCACTACCACTCCCCCAAAAAGAGATGAGAAGGGAAATAAATGCACATGTGCACATGCAGGAGGAGGAGCAGCAGGCCGCAGAGGGGGACCTGGTGGGGTTGAGGACTGACACAGGCCTCCCACTGTGCCACACCCACACAGGGAGGAGGGAAAAGCACAAGCATGCATGGGGATGCTAGCCCGTTCCGCCCACCACAGCTAAGGCAATCCATAAAAAGGGCCTTGCACACATCCAAAGCCACTGGCCATACACAGTGGTGACTGTGACCCACCGCCACCCCCCCAAAAAGGGATGAGAGGAAAAATAAACGCATGCAGGCGTGCATACATGGCGGGGGAGGAGGGACAGGCCATGGGCAGGCCTGGTTGGACAGGGTCACTTGCCCCATTTCATGCCCGAACCTGACCAGCTCAGTCAGTCCTTGGAGCCAATTCTTGTCTTAAAGTTATGGTCCCCAAAAAGCACTAATGTAACCTTCTGGGAACAGCAAAAATGGATGTTTCTGGACGTCATTTAAACCTTCCTACACTCTTGGTGAACATAAAAAATTTTCCTCCAAATATTGACACTAGTTGTCCCTTTGTGGCACTGTGATTGCCCTGGGACCCCCCTCTGAATGCCCATCTCTGACTTTACAGGCACCTCTCCAGGTGATGCATCCTTTTATAAGAAAAGGCTGCCTGCTTTTGGCAATATAAGGCTAAAAGGCAGGATCCTAGAGGTTTTTCACTGCATAGGTAAGGGTGGCTGCAGTCCTACCAGTCACTACATTTCCTTCCGTCATGGCCACAGACGGCAGAAGGAAGTCATGAGACAGGGACACTTGCTCTCGTCAGGGTGATCCCCAGTTGGGACATGGACAAAAGGGGAGTCTGACAAGTTCTTCTAGATGGGACCTGCCCCTTCCAGTCTTCCAGCCTCAGTACCCAAGCAGTCTCTGTTGGCCTGTCTACTGATCCTAATAATCTCAAAAAACAAAACAAAACCAAAAAACCATCATATTTCTTTGTACTGAGTCCTGGACCTAATATCCCTTGGGTGACCAAGAGAAGTGGCCTTCAGAGGGCTTCTTAAATTATAATACCATACTCCAATTAGACCTTTTCTGTAAAAGGGAAGAAAAGTGGACTGAGTTTCCCTATATGCAGCTTTTATCTCTAGAACCACCCAGAATAGCTCCATAATTGCTATGTAGATACTCAAACACTGGCTGTTCTTTGTTAGCCACAGGATAAACATGGGGAAGGAGGACCAAAAACAGCCCCTTATCAGTGACAAGGCCCCCATCCCTACTGCTCCCTCTACAGCTTCACCCTCTGCCCCGCCTTCTAAACCACTCCAATATTCAGAACCTCCTAATGGGTGTTTCCCCCTTCAACAGGCAGTGGTAAAAAGAGGGCGAGTCTATGTCCCTTCCAGTTATCAGATCTAAGGGAGATTAAAAAGGATCTGGGTAGCTCTACTGATGCCCCAGACCAATATATCCAGGCCTTTATTTCTGTGATCCAAACCTTTGAATTGGAATGGAAGGCTCCTTGACCAGACTCTTTCCTCATTAGAAAAGCAACAGGTCCCAGCTCAGGCTACTCAAGTTGAAGCTGATTTCCATCTACAATGACCCCCAATACCTATAACACCTGGAAATGAGGGAATAAATATGCCCATGCCCACAGAGGCACAGGCAGTCCCCTTGGCAGAGCCACATTGGGATCAAAATGATAAGGGGCATGAATGGCATTGACATCACTTCATCCATCTTATAATAGAAGGGCTAAAAAAGGACAAAGTTAAAACTCAAAACTATTTCCAGGTAACTATAGTACAACAAGGCCCTGATGAAAACCCCCTTACCTTTCTACAGCATCTTAAGGATGCTGTCCAAAAGCATACCACAGTGGACCCAGAGTTACAGGTGGGAGAGGTTCTCCTCAAAGATAAATTTCTTATTCAGTCAGCCCCAGATATCCTTAGAAAACTCCAAAAGTCTGTGGCCAAAGGGGAAAAGTCATTGGGACCAACTAGTACAACTAGCCACGTCTGTATACGAAAACCAGGATGTCACTAGAAAGAAAAGAATAAAAGACACCATGACCTAATAGCAGC